TATATATATATATATATATATATATATATATATATATATATACAGACAGAACTAATCAGTTATTCGATTTTATTTTAATTTTATATATGTATACGTAATTTCAATAACTCTTCAAGCTAACACAACTTATTACAGTTTAAAAAGTACAATCATTTTGAAATACTAAAAAGTTCGTTTTCGTTATAGTTGTTCATTTTTCTTTTATATATATGTATATTTATCGAGTCGAAAAACCGTTGATGCCGTTGTTGCATTAAAAGTAAATACATATATGTAGCGATTGGGTATCTGGGAGGATTACTATATAATTAGCTAACATTCACTTGATGGCCGGGCCTGGGCCTGCACGAATTGTTTTAAATCAGTACAAAATTGATGGCAGTCGCCCGCTTACATACTTCAAAAATCATTTATATAAAAAAACAATTAACTAAATTTCATGCTTAAGTTTAAAGAAACAGACGTTATGGAAAATACATACATATATATCATATTACATTACATATAATTAATTTGCTTCAAATTCTTCAAAATTAAAAATCCAATAGTACCTATATATATCAATGAAAATCAGTAGTAAATGCGAATGTACCAAAACAGCATGAACTAATATAAAGATTGAGATGTGGGTGGGTGGTGTGTAGGTAGCGCGGTGTTTGTTGGTTGTTTGTCGCACCACATATACAAATGGTTAATAAATACGCCACAATATGAGCATAGATGAAAATGAGAGGGTCGCCGCCATAGGTTCCATATTTTTTGGTGTTTAGGTATCCTTGTGCTTCTCATAGAAGGCATCTAGGTATTTTTTGTACTCATTTTGATCGTTCCACATCATCGCGGCCTGCGCATTTAGTGGACTCTCATTGTTCGGTTCGCCCAACAGAGACTGTATGGACAACAGGATGGTGCGCACGTCGTAGAGCGCCGACCATTTGTCTTTGAGTATGTCTAAACAAATAGCGCCCTGCAGATCGACGTTGGGATGAAAGCATGGCGTCAAAAATTTAACCACTGGCGCGGCATACGGATAGGAATTAGGAAAGTCAAGCGACAAGCGATATGTCTGGCTCGAGTACACAGTATTTATTGGGCCAGCGATGGTGCCGACCCATTTGAAAATGTTTTCGCCGTCTGGAAATGCCGATATTCCTTTCTCGTTGGCCATCATTAAGTTCATGAGTTCTTTGTGCAGTCTGTGTAAAAATCCACAAAACAACAAAAATTAATGCAAATCATTTGGTTGTTGCACAAACATACATATGTATATCTATATACATATATATGTATCAAAATTTGGCGCCTTACCTTTTGCTCACAGCATGATTGTCTTTGATAGGTAGCGAGTCATCATTGTGTTTGCTACTGCCACCAGCACCACTCTGTTCAGGGCTGATGTTTTGTGCCATTGCGTTGCACTCTGGGAATTTAGTTAGGTGTTTAATATGCTAAAAGTGTTACTATATATACTGTAATGTCAAATTTGGTAATGCGCGTCTGTTACTTTTGAGAATCTTTTTTCACTAAAACAAAATGGATGGAGGCAACACAGTGTTGCTTTGAGCGTGCGCAGGGTTGTATTTCCCGTCAGCTGAAAAATAACTAATGGCTTGCTCTTCTATAAGCGAGTAACAAATAAGAAAAAAGTAATATTAATAAATAAAGTTTACAGCAGTAACATCAACCATTTATGTATATTTTTCATGACATAAATTAGTTGGAAGGAGCGATGTGCATATTTAATCATTTTATTTTCTTCGCAGCTTTGTTAGTAGCGCCACTAACCAGTGGTAGCGCTTTAAATAAATATAAAAAGTACTATGTCGATATTTAAATACTATGAGCTCATCTCTAATCAAATATCGCAAAAGTTTATTCATATTAAAAAAGAGTTTGATTTAAAATTGTTTGGGTATGGCGTCTTTTTTGGAAGTATAAATGAATACGTATGTGAAATATGTACATACATTCATATATTGTTTCGGTTATTAGGATATGCCGAAATTAACAGATGTTATATGTATGCATCTAACGGTTTCAATACTGAAGTTTAGGAATCAAAAGCTATAAATGAATTAGTTATATTTTAAACAACTTTATCAATGTGTGAAAATTACTTATCTTTTCAGACGTCCAGAATTAATTTCTAAATGGAAGAGAACAATTTGATTTATGGTTTGGAATTGCAGGCTCGGGCTCTAACGCCACAATACGGCGAAGGCAATGATGTCTGCTTTTTTATAGCCACCAACTCGCTGAAGCCCACCAATCAGTTGCATCTGTTGCAATATGACGAGGAGCAGGGCACCATACAATCAAAAGTGAGCTAGAAATCTATTTATTGAACACATTTTTCATTGATCAATGTCCTTTCAGATCTTCGAGCATGCACTGGGTGAGGTTTGGAAGCTGAATAGCTGTCCCCACGATGCGCATTTGCTGGCATCCGTGTACAACGTACAAAAAGGGGCTCAAGTGCTTTCACAGGCAGCACTTTTAACTTTGCCGAATGACGATTCAGGGAATAAAAAGGATGCTGAGCCCATCAAAAGTGAATATATACCATGGGCCAAAATTGAGGTGCTAGACACCGCTGACTGGGGCGAGCGTGTGAAAACTGTTGAATTCCATCCAAGCCAAGAGCAAACGTTGGCCTGTGTGGTGGGCAATAAATTGGCTGTAATGCAGCGCGCAGAAGCATCTACTCGCGTGATAGCCGAAGTCAGCAGTAGTACCAGCGGTGCCAAGCACACGTCACCATTTACTACTGGCAAATGGTCGCATCATCATCAGGGACATCAGTTCTTGGCCTTGCATGACACGAGTATTCGGGCGTATGATGTGCGGGACACTCAACATTGCGCGTGGAGTATAGAGGACTCACATGGACAGTTCGTACGCGATTTAGACTGTAATCCTAATAAACAGTGTCATCTAGCGACAGGTGGTGATGATGGATGTCTAAAAGTGTGGGACTGTCGCATGGTTAAGGCCCCAGTATTCGAGCGCAGCGATCATTCGCACTGGGTGTGGTCGGTACGGTTCAACACATTCCATGACCAATTAATACTATCCAGCTCCAGTGATTGCAAGGTTCTACTAACCTGTGCAGGGTCAGTGAGCTCAGAGGCTCCAGGCATTGATGATAGCGAAGAAATTGGAACGGGCGCTTCTCAGGAGAGGCATAAAGTGCTTTCAGATGGCTTACTACAGACCTTCGACCAGCATGAGGACTCTGTGTACTGTGCAGAATGGAGTAATGTAGATCCTTGGATTTTCGCATCGTTAAGTTATGACGGCCGCGTTATAATTTCAAAGGTACCGAAACAATACAAGTACCAAATCATTATGTAACCTATTGCATATACTGAATATTCCACTAGAACGTATAATAAATATTGTTTAGATAAATATGTTAAATAAAGCTAATTATTAACTAATGCTTAACCAGTATCCTCTGACGTACAATCGGAGGAGTCATTGGGATTGGCTGTCTCCACAGAGCAGACACGTTTTATCAGCTCATTTTCTATCTCAACAATACCGTTCTCGATAGCCTCCTGCATTTGTACGTATTCAATTGTCGCTCCGCTCTTTTTGGGAGCTGGCTCAGCCGTAGGCTTAGGCTGTGATGATTCCGCCAACTGCGCAGCCTTCGCAGTTTCCGTTTCGTCTTCTGCCTCCTCGGCCAAGCTACTGCGCTGGGGCTGCACTTCTGCATATATAGCAGGATATTGCTGCTGTAGCTTTTGCTTTATTATTCGCACCTTGCGAAATATGTAGTCTAGATCCTTTTTCATTTCACTCAACAATTTTACATGTCGTTTGAAATCTTCACTTGCATTCTTCAAACGGCTTTGCGACAAGGCATTGCAGTTTAGCAACATTTCATTAGTTTTCTCAAAGCGTTGTAGCCTTTAAGTACATATTTGATAATTATTTATTTGCTTGTCATTTGTTTCTACTCACATTTGTTTTTGAGCTCTTATCATGGTCTCAACATCGCTCTGATTTACCATACCAGATAGACCTTGAATGAAAGCTTCGGCAGCTGTATAATTGTTAAATTCATATCCATTAAAAGACTCCAGATCTGGTGTAGTATCTGCATTGTCCTCCACTATATCCGTAACTTTAATTTCAGACATTAAGCTTCCTGACCAGAATATGCAAACAAAACATAAACAATTATTTATACAGCACTATCCAAACTAATCGATAAATCAAAGCTTAGTCGATATATCGTGAAGTCAGTGTGTCAACGGTCAGACATAATTATTGCAAATTCTGTTACTGGTATATTTAAAAAAAAAAAGATATATTCATATATATGTATAATTTGTAACTATATATGTTTATTCTAAAAGAAAATCTTGGACGAAATGCGCAAATACCTTTTGTACGTAAAGTCACTACATTTTATTGTTAACAGATGTTTTGCTTCTCCGGCAAATGTTAAATGTTAGTAAGCTCTGTTCATAGCATTTATGCAAATGTTAAGCCTCTTGACAGTTAACAGCTGATCAGAGAATAGCTTAGATTGCGAAATAATTGGGGATTTGCTTTTTGTTTTTTTGCTATTCGTTTTATTATTTTATTAGCTATGAAGCTTGCACCGACAGTTAAATTGAATAATGGATACGAAATGCCCGTTTTGGGCTTGGGGACGTACAATGTGAGTTGCGTTTAATTATAATAAATATTTCTGATTAAATATGTAATTAATATTTATATAATTATAATAATAATAATATAATATATATAATAAAAATTATATTAAATATTTCAGTCCAAGAACAATGAAGGGGAAATAGCTATAAAACACGCGATTGACATTGGATACCGGCATATCGACACAGCTTATTTCTATCAAAACGAGGCGGAGGTTGGCAAAGCTATACGGGATAAGATTTCAGACGGCGTAGTCAAGCGCGAGGACATTTTCTTGGTTACAAAAGTGAGACTAAACAATCGGAATAATATTGAAGCCATATTTCAAACAAATGAATTCGTTTAGCTCTGGAACATTCATCATGATCCCAAATACGTTGAGACTGCTTGCCGCAAGCAGCTGTCCAACCTCGGCTTGGACTACATTGATCTGTACTTGATGCACATGCCGGTTGGCTACCAATATGTAGATGAGGAAACGCTACTGCCCAAAAATGAAGCAGGCCAACTTCTGCTGAGCGACATTGACTACCTGGATACCTACAAGGCGATGGAACAGTTAGTCAAAAGTGGCCTGGTGCGCAGCATTGGAGTGTCGAATTTCAACAGCGAACAACTCTTGCGTATTATCGAGAATTGTGAAATCAAACCGGTGACCAATCAAGTCGAGTGCTCGCCGGCAATTAATCAGAAGAAATTGACGGCCTTCTGCAAGAAGTATGATGTAACAGTAACTGCATACACGCCCCTGGGTAGACCAAATCCGGAACAGCAGAAGCCCGACTTCCTTTATTCGGCCGAAGTGAAGGCAATAGCTGAGAAATACAAGAAGACAACTCCCCAAGTTGTGCTACGTTATTTGGTATATATAATAGAATAAGTTCTATGACAACTGTGGCCCAATTCTACGACACTTTCTTGTTGAATGACTTAAGTTTAAAATTCATTATGACTGTAATTTTTCATCTAATTCTTCTACTTAAAGGTGGAATTAGGTGTACTACCCATACCGAAATCCTCAAATGTTGGACGCATTAGTGAGAACTTTGACATTTTCGACTTTGAGCTGACGGCAGAGGAGAGATGTGTACTGGATGGCTATAACACTGGCGAGCGATATGTGCCTTTGAATTTGATCAAGAGTCTCAATCACAAGTACTATCCATTTGGCATTGAGTTTTAAAGCAAAAAACTATAAATAAAAAAACATAAAAATATATATTTATGTAATATGATATTTAAAATAAATTGCAATTTGCGCACCGTTTCTTAATGGTCATAAATTCAAGTGTTTAAATTATTTAAAGCTTTAGACAACTCAAAATTGCCAAGATATTGTGTGTAATCGAAATTGATTTAGTACTATTTTGTTTTTTATAATTCTGAACCAATATTCATAATAAAATGATACCCGCACGTTGTTTAACCACATGTGAGGACGATGAGGAAGATAACACCCGGGTCGCTCTTATACTGGGCGAGAAGCCCGTATGCGGGATCAAGAACCTGCTGATGGCGCCCAAGATCAAGCTCAGCAGCGGCTACGAAATGCCTGTGCTAGGACTTGGCACGGCTAATGTAAGAGCAGCACCTGTAAGCCTGTTAAATCCTTTCCCATTTTCCCACTGCAGATGCGCGGTTATCAATGCCTGACTGCCATCCATTGCGCTGTGGAGACTGGGTTCAGGCATTTCGATACGGCATACGTCTATGAAAACGAGAGGGAGGTGGGCGAGGCGCTACGCACGCAAATCCAAATGGGAAATGTCTCCAGGGAGAATATCTTTCTCACGACCAAGGTAAGCTCGATTTGATATATCTTCACAGTGATCCTCCAACTCCACGCTAAGCTTTGGAATATCCATCATGATCCGCGAGAAGTGCGTCGCATATGCGAGAAGCAGCTGGAAGCCCTTGGCTTTGACTACATCGATCTTTACCTAATGCACTTCCCAGTCGGCTTTACACACTTATGTGATGAGATTCTCTACCCCAAGCAGGACGATAAAGTACAATTATCGTACGTAATAGAGATTCGCATTTAATGTTTTCTCTTAAATATATATGTATATTCCATTTCGATAGCGACGTGGATTACATCGACACGTGGCGGGCGATGGAGGAGCTGGTTAAGCTGGGTATGGTGCGTAGCATTGGTGTCTCCAATTTCAATATGGAGCAGGTGCAGCGCATCATCCAGTGCAGCTCATCCAAGCCGGTTGTCAATCAGGTGGAAGTCTGGCCTGGCTTCATGCAAAAGGACCTGGTCGACTATTGTCGCTACAATGGCATTGTTGTGACCGCCTACGCGCCAATTGGTCAGCCGGATCGGGAAACTCATACACCCATCTACTTCTTCTCCGAGGGCATGCGACGTCTGGTGAAGAAATACAAGCGTACGCCTGCCCAAATCGTGCTACGTTATCTGGTATGGCCAGCAGCATGTGAGTTGATCATGGCTCGTCGACCTGACTAACGGATCTCAATATATTCCCAGATTGACTATGGGGTGGTGCCCATACCCAAAGCAGCAAATCCCTTGCACATTAAAGAGAATCTGAACATATTCGATTTCCAGCTGACTGAGGAAGATAGGCGTCTGCTAAAAGGCATCAAGCCCAAGGATCGCCTCATTAAATTTGAGGAAGCTGCGGAGCATCCTTTCTATCCGTTCGAGCGAGAAGATGAGCGTGATCGCCGTACCGAGGAATTTGAGAAGGAAGATGGTACACCCAAGAGGGCGTCGGCGGCAGCACCCGCTGATGGGCCAGCCGAGGGTGAAGAGGGTGGAGAATAGACAAGGGAACCTATTGAATAATTCATTTGTTCTCACAAAATTGTTGTGTGTCTCAATAAAATTAGAGGTATTATATATTTATCTAGGAAGTTTTTCGTACATATTTCTAAAGTTTGCATCGGAAGTACAGATATAATAAGGTAAAACAAAATTTTTGGATACCTTAAATTTTGTGAGCAATGATAATAAAGATAAAGATAAGCCACTAATGTATTCTAAAGAAAAAAGACCGTTCTTCTGCCTATCGCAAGATAATTTATACAAATTTGGTCGTGGTTCTTGTTGTTATGCTCTGCCGAAAAGTATGATTTGATATTGCTTTATGACCCGTTTGACAAGTCAACAGTATTATGACAGGATCCATAAACTGAAGTCGTGAAGGTTAACACCTCTGGTATATAAGCTACCTGCGTGGGCGGCATGGAATCAGTCAAGAACTTCCATTACAATCCAAGAGACAAATCATGTTCAGGCTAATCGCAGTTCTGGTTATTGCTTCGCTGGGCTTTATTGCTGCACAGGGTCAGGATCAGCCAAAATGCGGCGCCTGCCTGGCAGAAAACGAGGTACTTTGTGTATCGGAGACATCCTATTATCTTTGCTTTGGTAAGTACTGAAGGATATTCATAAGGAATTTCGCTAATATTAAATCAGATGGCGAGTCATTTGGCGACGAGCTACAGTGCACTGGAGATACCGTATGCAGCAATGCGGAAGCAGTCTGTGTGCCTAAAACTCAGATCTCCGAAACAGTGAAGAATGTATGCGGAGATGCTAGCATCGGAGGCTGCGGCAAATGTATCACGAGCAATAAATACACCTGTGTGAGCCCTACGCAAGCAGCCCGTTGCATAAATAACCAAATAGCTGGCGTCATCAATTGCAAGGGGGATGAGATTTGCATTGCCGACGTTGAGGTCGGTTCCGTCTGTGTGCCCCAGTGTGCCGCTGTCTATGTTAGTAGATCATTTAGAAATATTTAGCGAGCTCGCGAAATACATTTATCGGGTCATTACAGCTGGGAAAGAATGCCACTTGCGACGAGGATGCCGAGTATACCACACCAGCCCCAGCGCCAAGCACAACGCCGAGCTCCGAAGAACGTTCCATAATCTGCAATGAGGCATCGGCGGGTGTTACAGGATTATATTTCTATACATATGCCGATGAGAGCTGCAAGAACGGCGTCTACTGCCAGAGGCCCAGTATCTCCAGCACCGACTGGACGACAACCTTTTATAGACCATGCTCCGCTCCCACGCCTTATTTCGATACGCTCCTTAAAAATTGTGTTGCCACTAAGCCGAAAAACTGTCCAGTCCCTACCACAACTGCTGCCCCAGTTACAGACTCTTCTCTGGCCCCAGTGTCTCCCACAATAGTTCCGAGCTCAACTGCTGCTCCAGTTTCGGACACAACTGCGGCCCCCGTTCCAAGCTCAACCGCTGCTCCAGTTTCGGACACAACTGCGGCTCCAGGGTCATCCTCCACTGCAGCCCCATAGTAATCCAAGGGTAACTAGCGGTTCATAATACAATCAATAAAAAATATGTATGTACATACATATATACTAAAATCCATGCACATATAATAATCATTATGCAACTTATATAATTTTCAATAGTAAAATAAAATATTATTTAACAAATAACACTTTTAGATCAAATTCCACTATTGCGCCGGTGAAGAGTAAAGAGGGAGGGGAAGTTTATATATGTACATATGTATATATATACATAAGTTGGAAGTCTGCCAGTTCTAATAATTTACATACATACATACATATGTACATACATACATATTATGTACATATGTGCAAGCATATCGAATAGTGATGTAATGTGAAATCTAGAAACCTAGTATAGTATGATCAAAACTATATTACATTTATAATGAATATTTCTTACAGATTTTTGAAGCTAGCATTGGAAGTATAGAAGTGATAAGTGTTTCTACATGACCAAGCATACTCTTTTTTAGGATGAGTAAATATCTCGTTTTTATTCCATTTTCATTAATGTTTATAAGCTAATTTGATAAAAAAAAGTTACAAGCAACTACTAGACTGGAAAATACTCTATGAAAATTGAAAAAAAAAGTCCTAGCCCAAATCAAATTTTTAAATAGAAACATTTTTGCAGCTTAACTTTCATTCTGAAAAAGGGACGAAAATAATATACAAATATATACAAATTAAATTGATTTAAAATAACCTGCTGCGTTAGCATTCTTGAATACCTTACATTGGGAGAGCAAAGATAATAAAGATAAATTTAAGCCCCTAATGTATTCTGGAGAAAAAATAGCGATCTTCTGCCTTTACTATCGCAATGTAATTTATACAATTTGTTGTTGTGGCGCTTGATGTTATGCTCAGCCAAAAAGAACGATTCAATATTGCTTTATGATCCGTTTAACAAGTCAACAGCATTGTAATGACAGGATCCATAAACTGCAGTCGTGAAGGTTACCACTTCTGGTATATAAGCTATCTGCGTGTGAGGCATGCAATCAGTCAAGACGTTTCATTGCAATCCATGAGACAAATCATGATCAAGTTGATCACAGTTCTGGTTATCGCTTGTCTGGGCTTCACTGCTGCACAGACTCAGACTGCTGTACAGACTCCGACTGCTGTACAGGAGCTCAAATGTGGCGCTTGCATGGCGGACAACGATGCGCTTTGTATAACGCAGACAACGTATTATTTTTGCTTTAGTAAGTACTGAAGGATATTCGCTAATAATCTAATACTAATATCGATATTAAAACAGATGGCGAGCCATTTGGCGAAGAGAAAAAATGCCCTCAAAACAGCGTTTGCAGTAATCACGAATCAATCTGCGTGACTAGATCTCAGATCTCCGAAACAATTAAGAACGTATGCGCAGCTGTTATTGACAAGAATTGCGGCAAATGTACCCCGGGCAACAGATACGCCTGTGTGACTGCGAATCAAGCAGCCCGCTGCATAAATGACGAAATAGCTACCCTCGTAGATTGCAGGAGTAATCAGCTTTGCATAGCAGACATTGAGGAGGGCCCAGTCTGTGTGCCTCAGGATGCCGCTACTTATGTAAGTGGATGTTTTAGAAATAATTAACGTTTTATCGGAATCCCATTTATCCGTTTTCTACAGCTGGGAAGGAAAGCCACTTGTGATGACAGTGGCGGTTATCTGGCTACCCCACCACCACCGACGCCCACTTACCAAGAACGTAACAAGATCTGCTCATTGGCAGCGGAGAGGGTTACAGGATTATATTTGTATGCATATGCCGATGAAAACTGCCACAGCGCGCTCTACTGCCAGAGGCCATCTCGTTACAGCACCGACTGGACAAGCCTTTACAGAATATGTTCTCCTCCCAAGCGTTATTTTGATATGGTTCTCAAGTATTGTGTTGCCGATAAGCCGGAACATTGTAACAGATTATTATTTAGCAAATAAGCTAAGAGCTACGTACGCCTAATAAAAACTATGTCACTTATATAATTTCCATAAATCAAATCAAATTTTCATTGATAACTAATTCAGCGAACTTATATTGTAACAATGCTTAGCTAAATACATCTTATGCTAATCAATTCGGTAATATTTTAAATTTCCTTACAAAAAAATAAAATAAAATAAAAATAACGACTGAGACTGCAAACAGCAAACAGGTTTGTTTGTTTGTTTTTTTTTTTTTTTCTTCCATGTCATAAATTCTAAATATGTAATTCGAATATGATTTCCATGTTTTTCGACCACTGTTCGTCTGATTTATGAGGCGGGCAGATGCGTTGCGTTGCGCTTCAGTTTTAGATATATGTATGTGTATATAGATAAATATATATATGTGCAAAATAATCTTATTTTATTGCTAGTTGTGGCGTACACACAGAAACATGAACACTATTTACATACATACATACATAGTGATATACAATGAAAAGTTGCCATTTAATGATTCTTAATATTTCATCGAGACAGAAGCAATATGAATTGTTGTCATTGTCGTTGTTGATTTTGGTTTGAGTGTTGGTTTCGGTGGTGGCTGCAACCTGGCTGGCTTTGTCGGTTCGCTGGTTGGGCAAAAGGCGGCGCGCCTGCATTGACAGTGTTTGTTGGGGCAATTAAATATTAAATCAAATGAGTTGGCAGAAGAGATGACGATGAAGGTGGCGCACAGGCGGACCTGTGTCTGGGACAGAACAGGCTGTCGTCTGTCGGCTGTTGGTTGTTGGCTCTTGGCTGAGGCTATTTGGCTAGCCTCAAACTAAATGCGCAAATGGAAATTATGGCCATTGACAACGCACGATCTGCCTGGCACACTGTACGTGGGCAACGGAGAGTGTACGAACTGCAAAAAAAAAAAAAAAAAAATAGAAACAGCATTAGAATATATATATATATATATATTATATATAGATATAGTATTCATTCAATATGTAGATGGGCAAGATGATGGATGGATAGCTTATGGCTTTGCACCAACCTTTGGCACTTTTTGCGTGGTCGCCATGTAGCCGACACAGAATGATTGCGTCGTATGGCTCCACATCACCTCGCCACAGCTCTGCTTGGGATAGTACAACAGTGTGAGTGCCCCCGCATAGAGATCCTGCTGTTGCGGCAGCAGTGGTGAGTCCAAGAACTTTTGCTTGAATGTCTTGTGCAGGCTGGTCACGGCGCAATCACTACTAAAAGCGCCATTGCATATCTCGCGGGCAAGCAGTGTCTTCATCAGGTACTCTCCATTGCCCGTCGTGCACGTAGCAATGGCCAACTCATCCGTGTCGGTGGCCCAGCAGCCAGCGCCATAGGTTGCCGCCTGACCAACACGACCAGGCACCTTGAGTAGAATGCCACCGGAACTGCAGCCGGCTGCAGTATTCCCAGCACCATCGACACACACAGCGCCAACGGTGTCCAAGGCGGCAGCTAGCTCCACCTCGTTGCTCGGCTCGGGAACAGCCTCGGCAGCTTCGACTGTTTTGCTGTCGCCGACAACTAGATCGTATTTGCTCTTATAATGATTATAATGGAATTTCGCTTTCGATGAGATCAGCACATTGGGATCAACCATAGTACAGCCCACTTGCTCGGCATACTGCTCTGCACCGCTGGCTGCCAGCACCATGGGCGGAATGCGTTCCAGTGGCTGATGATCTGATTGGGCGTCACAAATGCGACGCGCCAGCTGTATAGGATTCTTTACTCGACTGACATTTGTGCATGCCCCAAAGTTGAGAGTGGTTCCATTCATTATGGCTGCATCGCACTGCACCGAGCCGTCTAAGCAGAGATTGGAGCCAAAGCCGGCGTTAGTGTGACCACAGTTCTCCAGGCGCATTATCGCCGCCTCGCAAGCATCGATAGCGCTGCCGCCGTTTCGCAGAATTTCTGTAGCTCGTATGCATGCCTCTTTGATGACGCGTTGGTATTTTGATTCATCGATGCAATTTCCAGCTCCTGAAACAAATGTGCGTGTCCGTAAATTGTAAATAAATACATACACGTATACGCTCATCAATCAAAACGAACCTGTATGCACCGCAACGAAACCAGCCATATTGTCGTTGTATAGTTGCTGCTCACGACAACTGCACTCGCGTTTCGCGGCCTTTGTTTACAGCGGACAGGAGCTATTTTAGTATTTGTTTGTTTAAACAATTTTGGAAACTGAGACAAGAACGACCGTTTGCTAAATGCGCCAAAATACTGATTTCATTACAAACTTATTAAAAATACTATGAATATGTGCTTTTCAATACTGGTCTAACTGCACATTAGGGGTACCCAGTTTTGATGATTCCATAAAATACGATTTTAGTATTTGTATAGAAAAAAATATCACTAATAACACTTATTGTTAATATATATATATATATACATTGTATTTGAATTGTGAATTTTGCATTGGGCATGCACGTCCTCTCAGATTTGCTTAAAGTAGTGAAAGCCTTAATGTTTTTAAAGACAGAAACATTTTTATTAGTTTGAGTAAATAACGGTCGCTCAACATTTTAAAATATATTTTGGAGTTACAAAAAATGTCGAAAGTATTTTCGCGGTATGCTTAACCTGGTCACACAGAATTATGACCGTGATTTTTGCAATAAAGAAGAACAATTGAAGCTAAAAAGTAAGATGTATTAATTTAAATATGTAATTAACCAGTTACGTTTTGATCTGGAAAAATGTGCGGACATCTCTTTAGATCAATTAAAGATTAGCAAGTGAAAGTGAAATGTGAAGTGTTTTTTTTTTTGTTTGTCCAAGTCGAACTGTGTGTGTGCTTGTATTTGTGTTTATTGTGTGTGCCGTCTGGTTGCACTTGTTATGCACTAATACCAATTAAAATATGTAAAGAGCAATATAAAAAAGAAGAAAAAAAAAATCAGCTGCAATATTGCAACGCAAAAGAAAAGAAGAGATTTACCATAATCACTGAAATACCAACCTAAGCGACGCTTTATTATACGCATATAAAATACTACGTTTTAATAAAAATGGACAAATTTCCATTAAAAGGTAGCAGAGAGGCTGCAGCGGAAGGCAACAACTACATAACCGCATATCAAACAGTCATGAAAAAGGTATGTAATAGTACAGTGCTGGCAGTCAACGTGATACGAAATAAGCTGCATATAAAATATGTGCTCATACATAAATTATTTGTGCACATTTTAGGGGCGGAATTAAGTTTTGTAAAAGTGTCTACGTGGGTGTCAGGGCTAAACAGCTGAGCAGCCGCGTACACTCGACCCCCACTCCGCCCCCTTGCCTTTGGACACATTTAAAGCCAAAAATACCATTTAAGCCTTTTAATATGTTAGTGCGTGAGCAAATAAATATTGTGTCGCCTAGCGTTAATATGCTGTGCAAAGTACATGAATAGCGATAAACTGATAAACTGAATTATCGATTTTATAGTCAAATGGCCATAGCATAGGAGCAGGAGACGGCGATCATCCTTTGGCCCCACACTCAAAGCAATCTTATACGGCAGCGGCAACCACGTCACTCACCGCAAACACAGACGACGAGGATATGATCGATATAACTCCACGTTCGAGTCCAGGCGATCTTATCGGCAGCTCCAGCGGCTATCATCGAGAGACTGTCACCGAATCGGATACGGAACGCGACTTTGCGCCAAATCAGCGAGCAATGCACCATCATCATCAACATCAACATGTGCCAACTCACAGCGCTTTCGGCGACCCCATGGATGGTGAGTACCGGAACGAGACCAACATAAGAAATCAGTGTTTGTTTATCTCACTTATCATCTTAATCTCGTTAGCCCGAGAGACGTCACAACAATTGTGACTGTACTTGCTTTTATTGATATTAATATTCATATACACATGTACGAGTGTGTGTTTGCATATGTATGCGGGCCATTCCTATCGTTTCCATTAATTTCATTTACTTATTAATAATATACACAGACATGTGCTTGATTCGAGTCTGTATTCCTAGTTAAAAATAACTGCAAGCTGTTGTATTGTTATATCGTCGATAAGAAATTTTGTACTGAAAGCAACACGTTCTTTCAGAAAAATATTACGAATATTATTTTGAATATTAGCTTTCTGTTGTAATATTGATAGCTGATTGTTTGCAGCCACTGTTCAAGAATCAAGTATCACATTCAAAATGTGTTTAGCAAATGAGCAATTTAAAACAAAGCACTCTTTGCGACCATGTCTCTCACTTTAGGAGCATTATCGTTCTATGGCTCCTCGGAGGTACATGATGAGATACCGGGCATTGGGCAGTACGAGGATTTTCATACCATCGATTGGCAGAGGGATATTGCTCGCGATCGCATGAGACATCGTTACATAGTCAAAAAGCGACAGGATTCACTTTGGGATTTGATAAAAGTAAAAATAATATATACCCTAATCTTTCCATGTAATCACGACTAATACTTATCTACTTTTGCAGGGAGCTATTGACGCAGGCTCTGGCTGGCTATGCGTCCTGCTTGTGGGCATTGCGGCGGGCTGTGTTGCGGGCATGGTAGATATAGGAGCTAGCTGGATGTCAGACCTGAAGCATGGCATATGTCCGACAGCCTTTTGGTTTAATCGCGAACAATGCTGCTATCCAGATAAGCAGTCTGTATTCGAGGAGGGTAACTGCTCCATGGTAAGTCTTATTAAATATAATTTCACTCTATAACACTATCATTAACATATTTTCATTTTAGTGGAAGACGTGGCCAGAGATCTTTGGGCTCAATCGAACAGGCACGGGTCCGAATATTGTATCGTATATTTTATATATTTTGTGGGCATTGCTGTTTGCCTCACTAAGCGCGTCGCTCGTGCGCATGTTTGCTCCTTATGCCTGCGGATCTGGCATACCGGAGATTAAGACCATATTGTCGGGCTTTATTATACGAGGCTATTTAGGCAAATGGACTTTGTTGATCAAATCGGTGGGTTTGATGCTTTCCGTGTCTGCAGGTCTGACACTTGGCAAAGAAGGACCAATGGTGCACATTGCTAGCTGTATTGGCAACATATTTTCCCATCTATTTCCTAAATATGGGCGAAACGAGGCAAAAAAGCGTGAAATTCTATCAGCAGCATCTGCCGCTGGCGTCTCGGTTGCTTTTGGGGCGCCTATAGGCGGAGTGCTGTTCTCCCTGGAGGAAGTGTCCTATTACTTTCCACTGAAGACTCTGTGGCGCTCGTTCTTCTGTGCGCTAATTGCTGCTTTTGTTCTGCGGTCACTGACGCCATTTGGTAATGAACATTCCGTGCTGTTCTTTGTGGAATATAACAAACCATGGATATTTTTTGAGCTGATTCCATTCGTCTTTCTGGGCATCATGGGTGTAAGTAGCATATTTAAATACACCTGACAAACGGTTATTTATTTCTTTATATATCTTTCAGGGTGTCATTGGTACATTCTTTATAAAGGCAAACTTGTGGTGGTGCCGATACAGAAAGTTTAGTAAGCTGGGCCAATATCCTGTTAGTGAAGTGCTCTTTGTTACGTTGGTAACTGCCATCATTTGCTATCCGAATCCCTTCACACGCATGAACATGAACGAACTCATCTTTCTGTTGGTCAGCAAATGTTCGTCCGGAGACTCAAATCCTTTATGGTAAGTGTATCCATTGTTAAGCTTGGCCTTGTGCTAAAACTAATGTCTTTATTATCTGACAGTGACTACAAGCGAATGAATATCAGTACAGGAACTAGTTTTATTGAAGTGACAGAGCCAGGTCCCGGCGTTTATCGTTCTATTTGGCTGCTGGTATTGACTTTTGTTCTGAAGCTGGCACTGACCATTTTTACGTTCGGTATAAAAGTGCCCTCGGGTTTGTTTATACCATCGCTGCTGTTGGGCGCTATTATGGGTCGCATTGTTGGCATCGGTGTGGAGCAATTTGCATACAGTTATCCTAACATTTGGTTCTTCACCGGAGAGTGTGCGGATAGCAATCTAATAACACCTGGATTGTATGCGGTTGTCGGCGCTGCCGCCGTGCTTGGCGGAGTTACGCGTATGACTGTCTCCTTGGTGGTTATCATGTTCGAGCTAACAGGCGGAGTGCGTTATATTGTGCCATTAATGGCGGCTGCCATGGCCTCTAAGTGGGTCGGCGATGCACTGGGCAGACAGGGAATATACGATGCGCATATCGCTTTAAATGGCTATCCGTTCCTTGATAGCAAAGAGGAATTTGCGCATACAACGCTCGCAGCAGATGTCATGCAGCCAAAGCGCAATGAAACATTAAATGTCATAACACAAGATTCCATGACGGTGGAAGATGTTGAGAATCTGCTTAAGGAGACCGAGCACAACGGCTATCCTGTCGTTGTGTCTAGAGAAAATCAATATTTAGTTGGCTTCGTACTGCGCAGGGATCTTAACTTGGCTATTGGTGAGCTAATAACTTATCTTTTCAAGTTGTCGATCATTTAATCATTCTTTATTGACAGGTAACGCAAAGCGTCTTATCGAAGGCATCAATAGTAATTCCATAGTATTATTTACGTCCACGACACCCACTCAAAATCTGGGACCGCCACCACTTAAACTAAAGAAAATTCTTGATATGGCACCCATCACGGTGACCGATCAAACGCCCATGGAAACTGTTGTCGACATGTTCCGTAAACTGGGTCTGCGTCAAACGCTTGTCACACACAATGGGTAAGTATATTATTACATTAGTAATTTTAGAAATAATTTAAAAACATTTGGTCACTATTTGCAGTCGCTTGTTGGGTGTTATAACGAAAAAGGATGTACTACGGCATGTTAAACAAATGGATAATGAAGATCCCAATACTGTGCTCTTTAATTAAGTTGAATTTATTAGCCAATCAGGCAGATGCCTAGTTATTATTATTATTACTATTATTATTTTTATTATTATGTGTACTATTATCGCAAAACCAACAAAACTTCATATGAATAAGCGGAAAGTTGAGAGCACGAGTAAAATGATTAGGAAATTTACGAACGGAATCGGATAGTGTGATGGATTTAGCAAAATTGTGTGCAGTACTACTATATACATATATACATATGTATAGTATATATTAATTGGTATATAATTATACACATAAATATATGTTTGTGTCGTTAATGTTAAATGTATAATTTATTAAAAACTAGTGCAAAATTTCTCAGCATATTTATAATTTCCACTCTGTAATTATTATCATTTGTAAACGCAATCAAAATAATATTGTCTACATTTATTTTAATAATATGTAATCATCCTATTTTTATATACCTTTGTACATCACGCGCATGTGGATTGAATGTTTGGAAATATTTTTTTATGTAAAGCAATTTTCACGCTGGCAGCACAGGCAATAGTATGAAAGAAATGATTTTATTTAATAGAAAGCAAATAAGAATGGATATGTTTTGCATTTCGTTCATACCATATATATAGTAATATTGTATTTTGTTAGACATCTGTGAAATTTTAATCTAAACTCGTGTAAATAGCATTGAAAGATGATGATGATGAAACCATTAATAAACTTAAGTGAAGCTATATAAAAGTCTATTATATGAAAAACTATTCTATGTACTACTTTTATGTACTCCAGAGATTATATAGACATATTACTTCTATGTCGGTAACGTCATTAGTAGTAAAAAACAAAATTTGAACATTTGAAAGTTTATGTAAACAAACTTTGCATCAAAGTTCATTTTTATTTTGTCTAGGTATGGAGGCATTCATCATATCATAATTATTTATCCCATTATTTTTATTCAGTTATGTTGAAAAATTAGCAAAGTCACAGAAAATTTCAGTTTAGAAAGATGTTCACAGTTTTGCGATTTGTTAAAGGTAAGATTTGCAGACAACAAAATTGTGTTTCTTCTATAATTAATTTGGCTTAATATTTTTAAAGCATGTCCCAAAATTGGGTTTCAAACTTGTCATCAAGGCGAGAGTCATTCTCAAAGACATCGGCTCCCATTGAAATCAGATAGTTTATTACATAATGGGTCGACTTTTTTTAAGAAGACCGGAGATGACAACAAAACCATTGATATAAAGATAGTCACGTCTAAGAGTAAAAGAAAAAGGATGATGAGCCCGACTCCACCTATCGACGACAATGATGCGGAAGCCTCTTCCGGATGGGTTAAGCAACCATGCTCTAGAGATAAAAGTTCTTTTGAAATGTTCATAAAGAAGCACACAAGCGAAACAAACAATAGATTGTCCAATACTGTTAATACAAAGCAGTCAGCACTATATCAAGAGGAGTGTACCTCCAAGAATGAGGAGACCATCCCTAGTGAAAAGGAAAAGGACTCTAAAGTGAATGAGAACTCCTCCGATGAGGAGAATGCCGATTTATTGATTGGCTTTAGTGAAACAAAACTAAGTGCCAATAAGAAAGCGGCGGTCTCCAATGAAGTTCCCCGTAAAAAACGGTCTGTTTCCAGACAAATAGCGACTGCCAGCATTAACGAAGAGACTAGCTCTCTTGAGTACCCAAATCTATCCACTGAGAAAGCATTTACTCGCCGAAAGCAAAACGCCTCTTGTAAACAAAATGTATTGGCAGATAAAGAAATTAGTAGTGACAGTGAAGAGCCCACTGCCGTCAGAAAAACTTTTAATCAATCTAATGAGAACTCCGCTGGATTAGAAGAGACTGCACTCAGTGAGAGCTCAGCTAGTGAGGGTTGGATTCGCTTATGTGTAAGTTTGACATCTTTCAATAATCAAAATTTTCCGACACATCATATGAACGCTGGCTACATAAATATGCCCGCCGAAAATAACATAGAGACTATTTCATCTTCTCAAAATCCGACGTCGAATAGAGAGAAAAGTACAGCTAATAAGCTTTCAGATTCCTGCCCGAAAGATCAGTATTCTTCCTGTGAGAATCTTTCATATTTGTGTGACCACCCGATAGCTTATAAAAAAAGGACTGGCTACTCAATCGGCTCGCCCATTGTTGAGCCGAGAGTCTCTTATGACAGATGCAGTGAGGTAAGGCAGACTGTCTCCAGTACGAAAGAATCCGGTAGGACACAACCAATCTCGAGTCAATCTAGTAACGCACCGACGACCCATAATAAAAACGAGATTGTCTTCAGTACATCTACGTCATGTGAAAATCCCATCTATAAGACAGAAATATCATGTCAAACAGATAGTAACGTTAACAAAAGTGAGAATCAGATCGAAGACAATTCGACCACGTCGAATGATATGAAGACTACTACTATGCAAAAACCATTAGGGTTCAGCAGAAAACTGATTGTCTTGTGTGAAAAGGTATCCGGATTCTGTGGAAAGCTAATGATTTCAAGCAAGAAACCTAGTGGCAAGGCCTAACAATGAAACACAAATATTAATAAATACAATAAAGTCTTCACTTAATGGTAGAAATGCAGTTAAAACTTATTTTTAGTTACTCTCTTAAATTACTCTCAATATAGAATATTTGAAACTCATTGCCATAGAGGCCTGTGATCAACCAGCAGCCATTGTCGCTGATTCGTATAAAGTGTCCACGACCACGTAGGCCACCCTTTGCGTGAGCATGGGCACCATCGCTGATCCTGTAATACTCCAAGGCTCCGTCATTGCTGGGGCAGTAGATGATGTTGGCATCACGGTTACAGGCGATGGCGTTCTTAAAAGGCAACGGAATTTGCACAATCAATTGTGCAGTGTCCTATAAAAGAATAAATCATCCTTTTACATATTTGTTGACCTATATACACATTCTCATACACACCTCTTCTTCGTGTCGCATATCGTGATAGTAGGCCTGGCCACTCAAATCGCAGCTTACCACAATTTGGTGGCCATCCATTAGAGTCTTCAGCAGAGTGGATACCATGAAACGATGCTTGCGGAGTGCGAGCAACTGGAATTGCTTGCTGGATCTATCTAAGGCCGGCTGCCGACCGGAGCTCCAGCAACGAAAGACGCCTCCACTATTAGTACCCAGCACGAAGTCGTCCAGGCCGAGAGACACCATAGTCGTTAGCTCTGCGCCAACTAAAGCTGGCAAGGAATATCTAAAGAATACATCAATATACAGTTAATATTTGTTTTCTGTTCGCTTACTCCCAATCCAAGGTCGTTTGTTGAGTCACCAACCACTGCTGCACTGTGCCATTAGCATAGCAGGCGAGCAAACGTTGCTCCGTGACCCAGTCGAGCGCCACTGCGGCACCTTGTGTAGAGGAAACGCTATGCAACTGTCTGATTTCCACCGTAGCCTGTTCGTACAGCCAAATAAAGAGCTCTCCATCCATAGTGGCGCCGGCAAAGATATTCTTGTTAAAATTATTTGTGCAAAGGCTGCGCAAACACGATTTGAGAGGCAAAGATTTGGCCTCCGAGTATACTACAAAATTGCCATGGGGCATACGCTGCGGCACAAAGAGTTTCAGTTGCTGTTCCATATGCTCGCACCAATCATCGTGAGGTGCCACAGTTGTGACCACCAGTACGGGCGCATTGTTGGTGTGCACGCACAGCCAAATGGCCAATCCCTGCGAGTTCTCAATGCTGTTCATTGTTAGTTTTTGGTAAGCGTGCACTTGCAGCTGCTCCTGCAGTGTAACCTGATTTGACTGCTGGTCCTCCATAAGTGGCGTTGGTTGACTTAATTCCTGCTCCACCAGTGGGTAGATCTGCCGCAGCCATTTGGCCAAGGCACGCTCGTCATATTCCACATTTATACTGCTACTGCTGCTGCAGCTTTGCTCTGTTTGTGTGGACACATGCTGCTTCTGCTGTGTCTCGGTAGCCGTGTCTACATGGGGTGGCGGAGGATCCGTGCCAGTGCAATTGTCTACCAGTACACTTTGCTTTTCTAGCGGCTGTGCAGCTGGGAATTCTGTTACAGGAGAGCTATAATGCGAAAGCACATCCATTCTGCATTCACTTAATTTTTCTATGGACACAACACCAGTCAGTCGTTGGCATAGCAACTAATAACTACCCATGCTCACCAAACTTTTAACCTATGTTGTTTGAAATTTCCGTTAGAATTGATAGACTTATCGATCAATTTCCCTACTTTGTCAACCTATCGGTATTTCGTTATATCGATAATCGTGTTTTAAGTACTTGGTTCAACCTCTAACGGATTATTCTCAGTAGTCCTTGGAAAAACATCAAATTTAAACTGTCACAGAAGGAGAAACTTTCATTTGCAAACAGAATCGAGTCAGTTGCAAATAAAGTTGTGCTGAGAAAAAAAAAAAAAAAAAAGCTAATTGAAAGCAATTGAAAAATAATAAATATTTTTGGAGAATATCAATTTTTTTCTGTCGAATAATAGAACTTAATTCGTTAAAAATGCAGATATTGTCTAGATTGGCAACGGGTAAGATTGTAGACATTTCGCTTTCCTCACGTGAAGTTAAGTTCAATTTATTATTTGCAGCTTGCGCTAAAATCGGCCTTAAGGTAAATCGTCAAGTTGGCCAACCACCAAAGGTTAACTTTTCATTGCAGAGGCGTTGTCTTTACAGTACGCCTCTGCTGAAGGATGATGATGACAAGTGTAATAAGTCTGGTCCGGATGAGGAAGGTGGCGCAAAAGATGGAAAGGAAGGTGGCGGAGATAAGTCAAAGTTGGTTGGAAAAGGTAGTGAGGGAATAATTCACGCTGTCATTGGGCCAGTAATCGATGTTTACTTTCCTGGTGAGATGCCAGAAGTGCTGAATGCTATGGAGGTACAAGACGCTCCTATTGGCCGTTTAGTATTGGAGGTAAGATATGTTTATTCGAGAAATTTGATATTTTTTTAAGCAAAAGGACAACTAGGTTTTCCATCATCTAGGCAACAATGTTGTGCGGTGTGTCGCTATGGATTCCACGGACGGGCTCCGACGTGGACAGAAAGTTATTGATACTGGTTACCCAATTAGGGTGCCCGTGGGCAAAACTGTGTTGGGTCGCATCATAAACGTGGTGGGTGATCCAATAGACGAGCGCGGCGAGATAAAGAGCGAGTTTTACTCATTTATACACAATGAAGCTCCACTCCTGGAGGAGTTGAGCGTAAAGCCTGAGATTTTAGTCACGGGCATCAAGGTGATTGATCTGCTTGCACCCTATGTAAAGGGCGGAAAAATTGGTCTTTTTGGAGGAGCTGGTGTTGGAAAAACGGTGCTAATTATGGAACTCATCAATAACATTGCCAAGTCCCATGGCGGCTATTCAGTGTTTGTTGGTGCCGGAGAACGTACCCGAGAGGGCAACGATCTGTACCATGAGATGATAGAGACCAAAGTTATTTCTCTAGAGGATGATACGTCGAAGGTGGCGCTCGTCTATGGCCAAATGAATGAGCCACCTGGTGCTCGCAGTCGTGTTGTGTTGACTGGTTTAACTATTGCAGAATACTTTCGGGATATTGATGGACAGGATGTACTGCTTTTCATAGATAATATATTCCGATTCACCCAAGCTGGCTCGGAGGTGTCCGCGCTGCTTGGTCGTATACCCTCTGCCGTTGGTTACCAGCCCACGCTCGGCACAGACATGGGCACCATGCAAGAGCGCATAACTAGTACTAAAAACGGTTCAATTACTTCTGTGCAAGCGGTCTATGTGCCGGCCGATGATTTGTCTGATCCGGCGCCAGCTGCTACGTTTTCTCACTTGGATGCAACTACTGTACTGTCCCGCCCAATTGCCGAATTGGGTATTTATCCAGCTGTGGATCCATTGGACTCTTCGTCCCGTGTTCTCGATCCCGATATTGTGGGTGACGAGCACTATAATGTTGCTCGAGCCGTGCAGAAAACTCTGCAGGGGTACAAATCATTGCAGGATATCATTGCCATTCTTGGCATGGATGAACTTTCTGAGGAGGACAAGCTAACGGTGGCAAGGGCTCGCAAAATGCAACGTTTCCTCTCTCAGCCATTCCAAGTCGCTGAGGTTTTCACTGGCACTCCCGGCAAGCTAGTGCCTGTAGAGAAGTCTGTGGATGGGTTTAAGCGGCTGCTAAATGGCGAATACGATGACATACCGGAAATAGCATTTTATATGGTCGGTGACATAGATGAAGTTCTGGCCAAAGCAAATCAGTTGGCAACAAGCATGGCCGCCGATGGACCCCCCAAACCCAAGCAAGCGCCCAAAGATGACAAGAAAGGAAAGGATGAGCCGAAAGGTAAAGATGATCCGAAAGCTAAGGCCGATCCGAAAGCTAAGGCCGATCCGAAAGCAAAGCCCGATCCGAAAGCTAAGGCTGACGCCAAGCCACCCAAGGCGGAGGCTAAAGATGCAAAGAAGCCAGAAAAGGGAAAAGATGACAAAGCCAAGGGCAAGAAAGACGATCCCAAAGACAAGAAGAAGTAGATTTTCTGCTACCATATAATAATTATCATTGCATTTGATATTATACACTCTCGATGAAAATACAGACTGTCGTTTGAAATTCATACATATTTTGTTTTTATTAGCATTAATATGAATTTTTTATTATTTAATGGCAGTTAGTATGAATATTTTATTTTAAATTAAATGCATACATATATGTATGTATGTAAGTCGCACAGTCTATCGAACAGTAATCAGCTGTTCGAACAGCTGATTTTATTTCAACCGGCTGAATTGTTTTGGTTACGTCCAAAATGTTGCGTGCGGTTCAATTTCGCCTGGGCATACGCCTTTATTCTGTGAAACCGGTGAAAAAGGATGCCAAGAAGTATACTGATACAATAAACCTGCCCAGAACAAGGTTTCCGAACCGTTTAAGTGCAGCCAAACGCGAGGAACAGGAGCGAGAAATTCTGGATGTGAGCTAGTATGCCTATTGAAGTATATTGCAGTTAAAATTGATTAAATCTTCTTTACAGCAAAAGATTGCGTCCGCTTACCAGTACCAGGAACAGCACAAACGTAAGCCCGCTTTTGTGCTACACGATGGACCGCCGTATGCCAATGGCCAGCTGCACATGGGCCATGCCGTTAACAAAATACTCAAGGATATAACGTTGCGTCAGCGCGTGGCACATGGACAGCAAGTGAATTACATTCCCGGCTGGGACTGCCACGGCTTGCCCATTGAGTTGAAGGCAACGAGCGCAGCGGCGGGCGAGCAGAGTGCATTGGAAATACGGCAAAAATGTGAGTTTGCCTTTGTAGAGGTTACATAGCTGTCAAGTTGTATAACCCTTTCCCATCATGTGCAGCACGTGCTTTTGCCTTGGAGGCCATCGAATCGCAAAAAGCAGATTTTCGCAGCTGGGGCATTTTGGCCAGCTGGCAGCCGGAGCAAATCTACCTGACATTCAAGCCAGAGTTTATTGCAAATCAGCTACAAATGTTCTACAGGTTGTACGAGCGCGGACTTGTTTATCGTGATCTCAAGCCTGTCTACTGGTCACCCTCCTCCAAGTAAGCATGTCTTCAATTAATTGATTATTTTTTCTCTTAATCGTACTTCTTATAGAACTGCTCTGGCGGAGGCGGAACTGGAGTATGATCCGAAATTCGTTAGCCCTTCTGTTTACTTACGATTCGTTTTAAATGGTTTACCAGTTGCTGAAGCTGCTCAGGGAAAACAAATCTTTGCGCTAGTGTGGACAACAACGCCTTGGACACTGCCCAGTAATCAGGCAATCTGTTATAATAGTTCGCTGGAGTACGTGCTGGTCAAGCTGTTAGATCGCGACCCAAATGATCTTTACCTCATGGCCTCGGCGCTGATAGCTGACTTTGAGAACAGCACGCAGTTGAAGTGTGAGGTTGTGCAGCGTTTGCCTGGTAGCGCATTAAAGGACTGTAACTATCAGCATCCCATTGATACAACACAAGGAAAACTGGCATTCTTTGAAGCTGCGCATGTGCAAGATACTAAGGGCACGGGCTTGGTGCACACAGCCCCGGCTCACGGACCAGATGACTTTCTGATTAGCCTGGCCAACAAGTTGCCCGTCAAGTGTTACGTTAATGAGTCGGGCATTTATACTGAGGAAGCTCCCGAATTCCTGCGTGGTCAGTCAGTACTGGCGCAGGGAAATCCCCTGGTACTGCAACATATTGCCGATGACGTTGTGCATGCATCCCAGTTCGAGCATTCCTATCCAATTGACTGGCGTACCAAGCAACCAGTGATAATCCGAGCAAGCGAACAGTGGTTCATCAATACGGATAAGCTGAAGGCTCCTGCAGCTGCCGCCCTGGAACGTGTGCAAATCTATCCCCGTGTCAATGCTGAATCGAGCAAAAAAGCGCTGCTGACTCAACTGCACAAGCGGCCCTATTGGTGCATCTCAAGGCAACGTGCCTGGGGTGTGCCCATACCTGTGCTGTACAAGAGAGACAACAACCAGGTGGTGCTCAATGGTGCATTGATTGAGCACCTGTGTGGTCTATTGCGCAGCGAGGGTTCAATGGATTTTTGGTGGTCCAAGTCCCTGGAAGAGCTGCTGCCGGATCAGCTATTAAAGCAGCTTGGTTGTGAAGCAAAGGAGCTTAGCAAAGGCAACGACATATTTGACATTTGGTTCGATTCGGGCAGCACTTGGTCAGCGGTGCTAAAGGATCAGCCACAACAAGTAGCTGATCTGTATTTGGAAGGTTACGATCAGTTCACGGGTTGGTTTCAATCGTCGCTCTTGACCAGCATAGCTGCTCGCAATTGCGCGCCCTACAAGTGAGTTGGTCCTATCAAAACTAATTCTAAGTATCCATATAAACTTGTCTCTTGCAGAGCTCTTTTTGTACATGGCTTTACAGTGGACGAAAAGGGACATAAGATGTCAAAGTCATTGGGTAATGTCATTTCGCCCAAGCAAATAACTAAGAAATATGGCACAGATGTCCTTCGTTGGTGGGTAGCGTCGCATGGCACTCAGCACATGTCCATCACAGTCAGCGATAAGCTGATGCAGCAGGCAGCCGAGAATCTAAGTAAGGTGCGCGGAACACTACGGTACCTCAATGGAGTCATCCAGCAAAAGGAGCAGAAGCTGTCCATGTCCATAAATGATAGCTATTTGAATAAATACCTCTTGCATAGCTTGGTGGAATTCGAGGAGGAGGTATGTCTGGATGGATTCAGTATAAAAACAAACATTTAAATTTCCTCAATTGCCACAGATCGAGAAGCTCTATAATGCCTATGAATACAATCGCGTTGTGGCTTGCATTCAGAATTTCATTGCGAATCAAGTATCAAGCATATACGTGCACTTGATTAAGGATCGTCTCTACTGCGGCAACAAGCAGGAGCTGCAGGATATTCGCTACACGCTCACCCAGTGCTACAGGCAGCTATGTAAGGCATTGTGGCCCATAGCGCCGTATCTAACTGAGGAGAGTTGGAGCTATTACGAGCCGACTGGTGGCTGCTTTCACGAGGAGACAGTGCAAGCTGAGAAGAGTTGGAAAAATGTCCAAGCTAGTCAGATAGTAAATGAAGCATTGGATATCAAGCGGCTTGTCAACCAACAGGCAGGCGATGTCAATAGCTGGCATCTTGCCGTGAGCATCAAATGCTGCTCACCGCAGCAACTGGAAAAGCTCACCGCATTGCATGGCCAGTTGAATGTGCCAGTTGCGAACTCAGAGCTCTGTGAGATTCTGCAAGTGGGCAGTGCCACAGTTGAGTCTGAGCTAGACTCTTCAATGGATACAGCTAAGGTTACCATGAAAACTTTGGACGCGACGCTCTGCCCTCGTTGCCGACGCTATAGCATTGTAGAGCATGCGATTTGCGGCAGATGCTCGGAAATATTATCTGACAAAAATTAGATTAATAATTTTGTTTGTGTAGGTAATTTATGTAAAAGGTAATACGTTTTATATATTAATAAAAAATGATTTGTTAGAAGCTCTGTAAGCACTTGAGTAGCGTGTCACGCAGCTTGAGACGCGTTGTTGGCTTGCCGCCGCAGATGATGTGAGTTTCATTGTCCTCGAATTTGATGGTCGTGTCTTCGTTGACTAGCTGGAGCGTCAAGTTGCCGCCGCTGCGATCCATTTTGATATTGGAGAAACCATCCTGCGCCAAGCGCTTCATAAGCGCATCCACATCGATAGTTCCATATTCATATTTGACATTTTTGAGCACATCCTCTTTAGAGGGCGCCACGGCATTAATGCCGCTGCCGCTTGTGCCGGGCTCATCCTTAATGCTGTCTGCGCACGGTTGGATACAGTGCACCTTGTCCTTCACCTGTAGCACTCCTGTGAGTGTGGAAAGTGAAACACCAGCGGCCACCTCACGTGCCGTGATCTTTTGTGCCAGCTCTGAGGCAATATAAATGCGATCAAGCTTGCGCTTCAATGGCAATCTGATAATCTCTCCGCATTTGAAGGTAATGATTTTCTTATCAGGCTGCTCTATAAATAGATTCGGTGCCGTGGGATGTGGCTTTGTGTATGCATCCGGTATGACTAGCACATTCGGCTTAAGCTCTTTGATCAGCTTATTGGCCTGTTGATAGTTCAGCGAGGTGTCGATAGGACAGTAAAAAGCCTTCATAGCCAGCGGCTGGAAGGGCGCCAATACTTGCAGGTAAGGAAAATCTGGTTCCGTGAATATAATCGAGTTGTTAGGATTATTGCCCCACATTTCAATGAAATGCACTGCATCGCCAAAGCGCAAACTTGGATGACCGCAAAAGACAACGCACGGCTATAATTGAAACAGTTGTAGATGCCATTTAAGCTTTTTTGTGCTTTAGTTAAGAGTAAACTCACCTGTCTAAAGTCTTTACTGAAGCCCTCGGAGAAGACGTGGTTGTAGTGCTTCAGCTTGGAATTGCGCAGGTAGAATGCGTGCGGGAAGGGATCATCGGGCAAATAGACTTTATTCTGCTTCGCCGAGCTCAGCCATTCGGCCAAAATGTTGGAGTAGGCCAGAGAGCTGTCTGCCACGGGTGATATGAAAAACATGGGCACATTGTTGAGTCCGGCGTTCTCCAGATTTTGTGTTAGACACTCAAACAGATCATAGACAACGCCGGATGGGTAACAGGGTATCAGGGCTGAACCATTGTTTCTTATCGTGAGCGCCACATTCATGCAGAGTTCACCTAGTTTTGTATCCGGATTTACTGTTGGTGCCTGTGTTAATCCCGTCATGATTAGCACATCGGCGTGCTTGAGTGCTGACTGATTGATGGGACGAGGATGCGTTGTTAGCGTTGAGGAGCCACTGACATAGCAAATCTTCTCATGAGCAGTGCTAAGTACCCAATTGCTGGAGCCTAGACAGTAACCCGAGCTGACGGGCGTTGCTATAAAAGCACCAAGTATATCCAATTTCTCATCATAGCCCATTATGGTCACCTTAGAGAGACTGCCCTGGACATCCTTTAGGCTGAATATGGTGCGCCATTTCTTAGCGCGAAAAGCCTCACTCAGCGGACTGGGTAGCAAATGCAGTTTATCCTTCCACAGACGGGCCGTGCATGCCTTCGGGGACACTTCGATGTAATCCACAAGTTCCTCGAGGAAAAAGCGACCAATTTGTAACGTTGGTTCCGTTGCATAGACTTTGCCCTTAAAGCCCGTATTTTCCGTAATATACGGCAACGCCAGCATATTCAGATAGTTGGAAATAAGTATTACATCTATTTCGCTAAAGTCAAGCATTTTGTCCATGGGCAAATTGAACTCTGGCACCGAGTCCACAAACACGCGGCCGCAACACTCCTTTAGCTCACCATCCATTTGGGGATCATGATCGCTGCTGGGTACGAAATTTGGCAGATTGGAAAGCTTCAAGCTCTGGACGAAGGGAAGTGGCAAGAAGTTCAGCACAGTTTGCTCCGTCAGGCCGCAATCGAGCATTATGCGCAGTCCTTTGAATGTGATGATGTAGCATGGTTTTGCCAAGTCACCGCTGAGGCAATACTACAAAGATAGAACACAAAGTTTAGAATAATTTACATTGTCATTTCCTTTGATAACAGGTGATTCTTATATACCAATCTCATTTTGAAAAACTGCCAGTCGCTGTGACGCTGTGTGGCTATTTGATTACAATTATAAGAATTGGCGTTCCGCATATAACATTTGCCGGAAATGTTATTAACAGCGAGGGTCGCTTCTAATATTAAAGTCCACAAAAATTTTTGGGCTCATTAACATTTAGTTGAATTAGAGAATTATTAAGTGAGAAATAATGGTATTGTGCTAAAAAAAACAAAACAGAGTGCCAAAGTGAAGTTTTAATTTAGTAAATATGTATATTAATAGTAGCAGATGCTAGCATTCTCATAACAGAGCCATCTTCGAATCAGCTGTTCAGATTAACATCGAAAATGTAATGTGGTATCCCTGGTAATGCGCACATAGCGGCGTTTGTTTAAAAATATTGCAGCACAAAAATGTCTCAACAAATCCGCGTTGTACAATGTGTTGAGTGCAGTTTATATCAGGTAGGATACTGAAGAAACTTTTATATAATTTAATAAAACGAATGCGTAATTATGTAGGTGGATATAGTTAAGAAGACAAATAGATGGGAATGTAAGGTATGCGATGCTAAACAGGTGATGCAAAAGGAATTTTTTCGCGGGTCCGGTGCTGAATGCCGTGCAAAGGTGCAACAGTTAAATCTGGATTGCGGGCAACGCAAGGAAGCACAGGCAAAACGTATGATATTGGAGGTACAGGCAGAAAACCTGGGTGACCGTGCATTGGTTGAGCTGGCAGATCAACTGAAATCATCGCACCGCACTGGAGGTTCAAGCAAATGGGCTGAGTACACCGATGAACCAATTACAGATACTTGCTCTGGCTCAAATAGACATATTCAACCCAAAGAGTTAGATGAGCCTGACAACAGTTCTTTTTACAAAAAGAAAAGCGGTTCCAACAAGCGCAAAGCACAAACCGCTTTTGTATATGATACCAAGACCAACTCAAAATGGCAAAACTTTCTGTAGTGAAAACGATTAATAAAATAAAGTATTTGTAATTAATGTATTTTTATTAAAATTTGTTTTTGTTCTTTTATCTTTTTTAATGTTTGAAACGCGGTGTGGAGGCAGTCGAGTTTATAGTTTATGTTTATAGAGGATCAACGCCTCCACGGCTAATCGATTACATTTTGCATTAATTTTTACATAGTATAGAAAAATGCAACTAATTTTTTTGAGTTAAATATTGTTAGTATGGGTATTGTATTTAATGTTTTTGTTGCTTTCAAATAGGGCAATTTATTGGACACAATACTTGTGTCCAAATTTAATTAGTGTGAAAGTTTTATTATTTAGCGCATTTTATAGCGCAATTAGATTGAGAAAAAACTTTTTATTATATTTGTTGACGGTTATAGTTTATGCTATTTCTGATTGTTTAGCACTTAGGCTGTGGCAGTTGAAGCACTTGCGCTTATATCCTTCTTGGCCACTTTCTCATCGGAACCAGTCTCCTCGATGTCGGCAGGATCTGTTTCACCACCGGGTGCACCAGCTTTGCCTGATGAGCGACGTCGCTTCCGATTAATGCGCCACGGGCGCATTGGGTACTTCATGGCCGGCAATTGATCCATGCCAAGCACTTTGAACATCTGACGGAAAGCAATGTAACGCAGGAATAACTGTGCCGAGACAGTGAGATCTTCACGCTCCTGCTTGGTGAGTTGCTGCAGAGCATCGGTTGGATCCTTTTCACATGGATCCAACAGGCCGGGACCATTGATTAAAAATCCCGAAGACAAAGCCTCCATGATTCGACGCAAACAGTCGCCGGGTGAGATGGGGAAACCAGCCGATGAGATAACTTTTTCCACTAGCAACTCTAATGACCATTGCGGTAGCGATTGCCACGACGGAACGCGCTGGCAAAGATCGCGCAATATGCGAATAACCATCACACATGATTGGAGTCCGGTGGCACGTGCCTGGAACCATTTGGCATGCCGCAAATCGGCGAGTGCCTAAAATACAAGTATTAAATATAAAATCCTTAGGAGATGTATGGACGTCGAGTGCTCACCCGCAGACACGGCTCACGTGGTAAAAAGTCTGTTTCGGCAGCTGCAGATGTAGAAGCCCCATCCTCGGACTTAGCAACGGGATCGCCGGTTTCGCGTAGCAGCGGCGAAGTAAGTGTAATCTTCACAGCAACCACTTCATCCAGCACTATTACAGCAGCTTCCTCGGCATTCACCTCAACGCGATAGTTGACTGGTGTTTCACCTAGAACGGAGATTGTTTGGCCATGGGTTAGTGTCAATCAATACTTAACAATAATAAAAGCAGTAAAAATTACGTTCGGCTTAGAAAAGAGACAAACATTGTTAGATAGATATATAGTTGATAATTCTATGTGTGGGCCACAAAGTATATATATATATATATAGGTATATAAGACATGAAGGTGCACATCTGATAATAATAATAAAATGTAATGTTTGTTTCTTCCTACGTTCCACAGATAAATTCCGCTCAGTTCCCAGCAAACGTACATATTAAAGACACATATATATATATAATATATATATGTATATACATGTATAAATATATCTAGAACGAATATTTAACGTTGTTTAATGACTTGCGTGCTGGGATCGGACCGGTTTAGCCAGCGGTTAAAGCGACGACACCACCGCCACCTCCACCTGGGCCTCATAAACGGAATTGCACGAATTGAAATTGAAATTGGAACTGCAATTCCACTTAGAGCGCGTGGCTGGCTGTGTTTTGTTGTCATTTCTGGTTAGTTTTCTGGCATACAAAACTAAAAACATTGACCGAAATTTTTCGTTTATTTGCGGCTCACTCAATTAATCATCGGTCCGGTCAGCATTCACCGTTCGCAACATAAATTTCGGTCGCAATTTTTCGTTCGATTTTTCTTTTTTTTTTCACAATCAAGTTTGATACACACAAAACGGCTGCTTGAAGAGGCATCGATTCTCTAGTAAGCTAGTAGAGCTGCCCATTTAGCAAGGGGCGCAACAATTTTGGTTGATAAAATATATATATATAGATATGATCATTGTACACATATGGTACACACATTCTATTTATTCCATGAGTGTGTACGCCTTCTATGCGTCTGTCTGTGTGGATCAATCGCATTGCTTCAGGTCGGCTCTTTTACTTTTATATTAATATGTATAGCTGCGTTGAGCTTAATATATATATATCTCAAAGGACTTTATTTACACAAAGTTTCATCGCATTGGAAGTGGAGAATGGGGAAAAATATGAGAGTGAGAGTGTGTATGTAAGCGTGTGCGTTGTGTGTATATGTGTACAGTAGAACAACAACAGAGCACAACAGAGCGAGCACCCAAACTTTGTATAAATATATTCCTTTGGTTCGATTGTTTTTTTTTTTTGTCTGTTCATTTTGTTATAGTTTCATTGTTCCACACATATGAACTCTTCCGCATCCGCATGGGCATCCGCGGGTTAGAGAGTGTGTTACCATTACGATTACGAGATCCGTTGATTATCCACCACCAGCAGATGCAGTAGCAGTTGGTAGCAGCAGCAGCAGACTTGGAAAGCTATAGACGGCTAACAGACACCTGAGTGTGAGTAGTGTGAGTGGATAGCATCTCAATATGGCTAAGGGCTCAAATCTCAAATCCTGCAGTGAAGAGAAGCTGAAAACGGCAAATACGTTTATATATTTTTTTATTTTTTTGTTTTGTTTTTTTTTTTTTTGCTTTCTATTGTTGTTGTTCGGCTTTGTTTAGGCTGCTGTTGTTCGTTGTATCTGTTTGTTGCTGTTGGTTCTGGTCGTCAAACAATTTAAATCCATCACGGCAACAACAACAACAGGGCTCAACAGTAGTACAACTAGTAGTAGTAGTAATAGTAGTAGGTGGTAGGTAGTAGTAGTAGAGTATGTACATACATTAATTCAAACAATGATTTCACTTTTTCCACACAAATTGCGCATTTCAAACGAAACTAAATTGATATATTGAATATATTACATCACATTAGTTGTGCTTTCGTAATTTATAATTTGTTTACTTGCTTTCGCATTGCTTTTACTAGCATTCATTATGGCGCTCCGAAATTCATATACTCTCTCGGCGAAATTCACATTCTGTTTCTGTTTCAGTTTCAGCATTGTGAAATTGGCCAGGCAGAAGTTTTGTAAGTTTTGGATTTGCTGCTTTTGATTATGCAATTTGTCGTGATTGTTTTATTTCGATTTTTCGTTGACATGGATATGTCTTGGTATCACATTAAGTTTTATTTATTGTCGAATTTATATTTTGTTCACTTTATATGATTATAAACATGTTGTAAATGTTATTGTAAATGTTGTTCCTTTAAGAGCTACAACTGTAACTCTGTTCCACACACTATTTAACCAATATGCAAAGGGTATATTATATTATTTGTGTATAAAGAATAAGGGAAAGGGTATTGTACGTTTGTTACGAGCCCATCAACTTATCATACTTTAGCTAAATCTACGCAATTTAGATATATTTAACCGTATCGGACAAACAATATAAATAAGTTATTCAAAACAAAAACTTCCTAAAGAGAAGATGTGAAGTTGTAAGTTATGTAATGTGTAAGCATTTGTGGAGAGCCTAAGACATATCCATGATACATTGGTAATTTCTAGACTAGAGAAATTAAGATATCTGCATCTTCATTGTATAGCCATTTCTCTGGAAAAAGTTTTTGCAATCAATATTCACAATGGACACCGAAATATATATATACGTGTATATATATCAAGGATTATAGTTATGCATGTAAATATTGTATGTGATGGACGGTTTCAAAATGCTCTACAACTTACCTGCAACCTCCTTGAGCTTATCGGGCAACACATTGGCCACACGTTGCAGCAGACTTATCGTTGGCTTCTCTGCACAAAGAACAACCAGTTCGACCGCTGTGTCGCCATGCAGCAGCAGTCCCTTGGCCAAGAAGCCAACACGCATAACACCCTTTAGGATGCGCACCACATTTCCACCACTGTCGGCTTCTTTGTGGAATGAGAATATCTGATTATCTCGGCCATCCTTTTCCGATGGTTTATCGGCTTTTTCTTTTTTGGCGGCCGGTTCGCTATCACTGCCTCCAGCTGGTGTTGGCAGCTCAGCCAAGGTATCCGAGACGAGCTTGAGAGCGCGTTCTGTGTGCGACACAATACGCTGTATAGTCTGGAGTTCTTCCTCCTTTGGATAGATTTCAGCATGACGCGCTATAGCGTGACGATCGTCGGTGCTCTCCGGACGACGCACATTTCCGCCGCCAGGCATCATGCCAAAGTGTGGCGGAGGTCCATTGCCCATGCGACCAAAGCGCTGGGCTCCTGTGATTAAAGTTATTGATAACATATAAATTTTATTTAATTTATTAACATGGATTACCTCCAAAGCTGCGGGACATCCAATTATTGTAGTCATACTCTTCATTGTATTGTCGATTGCGCTGCTCATCCCAGTAGTTGCCTCCTTCATGCTCATCGCCACGATGCGAGGACATGAGCGCTCGTTGAGCACGCGCCTCAGCCAGACGACGCTGGCGTGGTGTGGGTTTAAAATCGACAACCAAGTCCGGCTGAACTTTGCGCTTGTATTGTAAGCGATGGCGACGTCCCTTCATGTGCATCTCTTTGGCATTTGGATCGTTGAACTTGCAATCGCACAGCTTACAATTGAAGCTAAGTATTTTTCCCTCATCGTCCTTGACCTCTTCAATGTACTCGCCGCCCACAGGTTTAATGTTATCCGTGTTCTCGCCCATCGAATCGTCCATATTGTCATCCATACTTTCAGATGTTGCTGCTGCTCCACCGCCTGCGGTTGCATCAGCTTCGGTTTGATCAGACTTGGTTCCTGCTGCTGCTGCAGCTGCAGTGGATGCATTTGGCCCTGCAGCTGGCACAAAATTAATCTTTCCCATTTTCTTGGGCTCATCAGAAGGTATTGGCTTTCCCAGTTTCTGATGCAGCTTAACTACCTTCTGATGCTTAGCGCCGCGTACATGAGCCGCATAGGCATC